AGTGAGGCTCTCTGTCTTCGGCTTACTTATCATGGAGTCCGCCAGACATATGCAAGAGCACTGGGACGTGTACCAGAAGGCACCGGTATTGCCTGTTGTTCTTGTAGGAATGATTACCTTCGTTGGTCCACCAGCCCGGCAAAGCAAGGTCAATACTAATATTCAGAAAAGTATAGTAGTAATAGTCATGCGAGGCATGACTCTGAGTTTTTGCACATCTTGTCTCCATATGGGGCTGCACGCAAACACCGTCGGGTCTAATCGTACATAAGCCCCAAGCCGAAGCCGCAGAGCTTCTTGCAGGAATTCGCCTCTGGCTGGCTGACTTGACTTGAACTCACGACCCAGACCCTAGTAGCTATCTTTCTAGATCGATCCATCTATCTATCTATCTACCTATCTGTGTGCGTGTATGAGGAGAGAGTAACAGACCTCATGCTCACCGAAAGGTAGAGAGGCTCTGAAGCTGAAGCCCTGAACAGCACCGGAAGGGTGCGGATCAGCTGACGCGGGACCTTCTCTCGCTCTTCAGCAAAGTCCCGGAGAGCTTCAAGAAGCAGTACCAGGACCTGAGATGTTTCGGTCACGAAGACAGGAATTTGTTCCACACAGGTCATTTCAACGATTTCGGGTTCCGTTGCCTTAGAAGGAGACCGCTATTCCTCCTGACCACTGATGTAAGAAGTCCATCTATCTGTCACTGTCTGCTTCGTCTGACAATCCTCCCTGCACTTTCCATACTACTGCTGCACAGGAGGTGAGCGCGGACACACTGAAATCCGCTCAGGACCTCTTTTACTCTTTGCTAGGCGCCATGCATCTGTGCTCCGATACTTGCTAAGTTTTGAGGATCGTTATCGGCTTTGGGGGTTAGTCGAAATCATGAGGTGCACCACCCATGGCGTCAGTACTAAAGTAGAGTACGAAAGAGAATCTCAAGGAGATGAATCTCCCTCGGCCACCTGCATGGCAAGTCTAGCAGTGCTTTCACGATCAGAACAGCCGTGCACCTGTCGGCTCCGTCCCGGTAGGTAACATTGTGAACAACGTCAGCTCTTTGATTTTGGGCGTGCCAATCTCAGCCCTCCAGCTTTCGGCATTTTAGGGTTCCTGGTTTGCGCAAAATCCTTAAACCCTAAACTTCCCTAAGCCCTAAACCTTTGGAAGCCGTCCAGTTCTAGTTTGAGCGGCAGGAAATAGGACTCTCGCGCCACCTCAGACACAGCCCCCAGGTTTTTTCACCCCTAGCCCTTGGACCTCTAAACCCCTAAACCCCCAGATCCTAGAAGCCCTAAACCCCCAGACCCTATAAGCCCTAAACCTAGGTGCTGTTGACCATGCTCTACACGTTGTTTTGGCTTTGCAGCCCCGTTCCCATGGACGGGGCCTCAGTCGAACGGGGAGGCTCATGGATCCTAATGGGTTTAGGGGTTAGGGTTTAGGGTTTGGGGTTTAGGGTTTAGGGTTTCGGGCTGGTGCTGTCAGCTATCGGGTTGGGTGTACTCGTAGCGTGTATTCTGTGCATACACAGGCAAGCCATCTCTCGATTTTTCCCACCCATACATGCATCGATCTTTCTATCCGCTTGTCTGTATTTTTCTATGTATCTATGTACCTATCTATCTATCGCTCGATCTATACATCTATTTGTCGATCTATCGATCTATCTATCCTTCTTTCTTTATTTCGTTCTTTCTCTCTTTCGATCTGTCCTTGTAGGCATACAGCGTGCTTAGCTGTCTGCACCTCTCTCTCTCTCTCTCTCTGTCTCTCTTGGTCTCGCGGCTACCATGGCTCCAAGGATTCCTCCGTGGATGTCATGTTCCGAAAGTACATCATGCCAGACCCTGAGCCGAGTTCCAGCCGTGGGAAAGCTATGGATTTCCTGAATGCTTGACACTTGAGTCACTTGAGGTTCAAAACCCTGGCCTGTTTCGGCTACGGCATCTCGGCCGGGCTTCTTCTCTACTTCCTCTCCGTGGATCTTGCGCTCAGTCCTCAGGTTGTGGGCTGTTTAGGCTTATAGTTCGGGGTGTGGTTTGGGTGATGGGATTTAGGTTGGATGCTTGATGCTTGAGGCATGGGAGATCCATTGTCCACTAAAGAACAAGTCTGTGATAGCGCTTCATACCATGGTGCCTCACAGGTCATGCTGCTTGTAGTATTACCTTATCACTACAGAAGACACCGAGTCACACCCTAAGCCCTAAAACCTGTAAGCCATGAACCCTAAACCGTGGTTTGAGGGAGCTTTGGGGCCTTGTCCGCGCAGAGGTCGGTCTTCGCGCTGACGACCTTCGCGCTCAACTTCGTACCTGAGGCCCGGAGCGGCCCTGCTGCTAGTCCACTGCTTCGCAGTCGGGACGTCCATGGCTCCAACCTCTTACTACGGTATAGCTCTGTTGACAATAGTAACCATAACTTGGACCATAACCATATCATAACTGCTCTGTAAATATACTGTAGCCATACTGACTAGACTATATAACTATACTATAACTACACAACGAAACATCCGTAGAAAACTCGCCGGTGCCCTTGACGTTTCCGTTTGCTTTTAGGTGGGTCCTTTCATCGCCATGGCCCGGCCCTTGGTCGGGCTCGAGTTGGATATAAATGCAAGAGCTTCATCATTACACAGGCTTACTATAGTAAGGGATGGACATCTCTCTCTCCATATATATATATGTACACATACATGTGTATATATGTATATATGTTTATTTATTTATCTATATTTATATCTACATATATATATATATGTATGTATAGATAGCAGCGCTTCATAATGACACAGGGGTACTATAGTGAGGGGTAGGATAAGGGGAGTTCTGGGCTTAGGAGGTCTGTGGAGCTTCAGGGTGTGCCGTTTCGATCCTCACGCCGAGCATATCTTTTGTTGGGTTTTGGGCTGAGGCGCAGAGTAAGACTGCAAGCAGGGAGCTTATAACTTTCAGGCTTTAGAGGTGAGGCATGCTTCCCGCTTTTGCAGCTGGCACTGCACTTATACCCAAAAACGCTAAACCCTAAACCCCCAAAAACCCAAAACCCCCCAAAACCCTAAACGCCAAACCCTAAACCCTAACCCCCAAAAACCCTAAACGCTATGGTCGAGTCTTCGAAGTACCGATGGCTTTTCTTGCAGCTAAAGCGATGCCATTGACCTTGGGGCCCAGGCGAATTTCCTTTGGCCTTATAGGGTTGATAGGGTTGAGGGATTATAGGATTTAGGGATTTAGGCTTTAGGGATTACAGGGTTTAGGGATTATAGGATTTAGGGATTTAGGCTTTAGGGATTATAGGATTTAGGGATTTAGGCTTTAGGGATTAGGGTTTAGGGATGTAGGGATTTAGGGAAGTTTTGGGTGCTTCGTCCGTTTCTGGGCCTTCTGAGATTCTGAGGTACTGCCATGTCCTGTCATCATCCTTGACAGCCGCATCGACCGGCCGATGCTGGTCGGGAAGCCAGTTCTTTGCGGCCAGACACGAGAGTCCGGAGGGATCGGTGGCTGGGAGGGGTGTAAGTCTTGGCTTGTTTACTAATTTACGTAGCCTTCATCGAGGGTTTTTGGGCAATGCAACTCAGCGCCTTATGCGTTCAATGTGGTCTAATCAGTCTAATTAATCTTGGTCGCACATATTTCCTCACACTGTCACGTAAATAGCCAGTCCACTGCATTTTTCTGCACAAGCCAACCCTGAGGAGTTTTCATCTACTAGCTAGTAGAGCAGTTGGAGAAAGGGCCAGCAACAAGAGTAACTCTAAACCTTAAGGCTTCGCTAGTTTCCTGTTGTGTTTTTGGGTTCGGGCGGATGACCGTGGCTGCCATCAAGCGCCAGCGAGTCAGAAGCTGAAGCTCGTGGTTGCAGTATCGGTGACCACAATCGCAGCAATAGCTCCCCTACGACGAGGAGGAACAGGTATCCACACTAGCAAAGATAACCTGAAGCCCTGGACTCGAAGCTGTAACAGTACCAGCAAAGAATGATTAGAGGAACGTCCTGGTCGTTTGCAGGTGCTTTTCGTCGCGATTCTCGGCCAGCTTGCGCTGAAGTTTGCTTTCAGCAACATCATTGAGGCACACCTCCGGTCCAGCAGCACAACGAGGGGCTTTTAGGGTCCATGGTCGTGGGCGACTGTTGCTAGGAACATGAGCAGAGATACGAGCAAACACTTGCCGCTGCGGCAACCAGATGCTGCACGATCTGTCGCCCGAAGTTGTGCAGCGAGTGGTGATTAGTAGAATAACTTGTACTTGTACTCGGAGATCTGGTGTTGAAGGTGAAGCTTATTGAGAGTGACAAGAAGCTCCGCATGCATCCGGTCATGATCCTCCTGCGTTGCTCTCAGGGCCGAGGAACACTTCTTCAAATTCTCCTCGGCCTCAAACCGGAAAGCCACAGAGAGAGAGAGAGAGAGGGAGCAATGACCGACATGACGCGCCACCAACATTGGCCTTGCTTGAGGGTCTCAAGGACAACCCTCACCACACAAAGCACATCCTTGAGTCCCTCCTATGTTCACCGTTATCATCGTCACCTTCTCCACCACCGTTGTTATCATCCTCATCAGAAACATCAGCGTCATCTTCGTGATGAACATCATCGTCATCGTCACCGTCACCACCACCATCATCATCGTCACCATTCCTCATGCCGCAATAGCAGAAGCTGGACTAGCAATCCCACGGATTCGAACCGCAACTGCAGCGTGTTGTCCCGACGACCTGCTACATTTCTGTGCTACGCCTGCAGCTTGACCTTACTGCTGCTACAATTACCTTTGTGTTCAGGTCGTGACTCGTCGCCGTGTGAACCTGGTGCTATCGGGCCCTTGTTACGAGAATACTACGAGCACTGACGAATCTTTGCGTGCACGACTCCGAAACCACATCCTCGAGACAGAACGAACGTGCTGACCCGAAAAGCAACTCTGAGGAACGCTGGCTGAGGTCAGTGGGAGTCTTCGGATACTTGTGGGGGCCGACCGGCATGCTGTGCGCACCTTACGAAAGCTGCAATCCAGGTCAATCAGCTTTAGACAATTGCCGATCAGGATGCTGGACACAAAGAAAACAGAGTAGCAGCGACAACAGCAACATACCACCGCCGCCGCCACCGCCACCCCCACCACC